ACTCTAACTACTTTTAAATCCAGGCTGAAGACTTTTCTTTTTGTCGCTGCTTTTAATTGAACTATTCATATCTTAGACTGCACTGTAACTTTTATCCATGTATTTTTTCTTTTAATGTTTATCCATGTATTTTTTCTTTTAATGTTTATTTTATTAGCTTTTCTTTTTAATGACTGAGGCCATTTTCTAAATGTCTTTCATTTTTTGTAAAGCACTTTGAATTGCCTTGTGTTGAAAAGTGCTATATAAATAAACTTGCCTTGCCTTGTCACTACATTTTATAAGAAACACTTAGATCAATCTGCGACTGTCACACACTCTTCAGTAGCACTTTATTGTCACATTAATAACACTTTAGACCCTTTATCAGCACTTGCTGCAGTTAGTAGATCCTGAAGTAAAAGTACAAACACCACACTGAAAATACTCCATTACAAGTTAAAGTACTGCATTCATATATTTTTTAAGTAAAAGTATGTAAGTATTATTAGACACATGTACTTTATTATAATAATTCAAATGTATTACGGAAGAGCAAACCTACCAAAATAAATATATTTATAAAAATACATACATTGAATAATATGCCATTTAATGTACTGATTTAAATATTACCCATACATGTAGGCACTAGTTGGTTAAATGTGACATACATTGATACTTTAGTTTTAATGTGCTTCTTTATTCACCTTTTCTTTTTAAATGTGTAAAAGCAAATACAAACAAATACTTTTGATTAATTCAAATTGCGCGAGAATAATTGATGAAGAAATCAATGAATAAATATGTTCAATAATAAATTAAACACATCTAAAATGTTACTTGATAAAGAATAGGGGAACTAATACAAAGGTCATTAAGTAATTAAAACATTAATACAAATTATGTAAAATCTCATCAATCAATTATTGCCAACATACTTATAATATATTCTGTATATTTAAGTTAAAGTTAAAGCCTTTTATTGTCATTATACACAGAGTATAACGAGATTCAGAGTGCAACTCTGTCCCGGTGTGCAAAAAAAAGACCCTCTCCACTCTCTCTCCATTGAGGTGAAGGGGGGCGGGTTCTGGACGGTGCTTTCTGAAGTCTATGATGATTTATTTTGTTTTGCTTGTATTCAGATGTAGGTTCTTAGCTGAACACCACGCAGACAGCTTCAGGATCTCGTCTCTGTATGCCGACTCGTCGTCTCCCTTATATATTTGGTGTCATCTGCACATTTGATAATGGAGTTGGAGGGGTGAATGGGAGAGCAGTCGTGTATGTAGAGAGTGTAGAGTAGAGGGCTCAGCACGCAGCCCTGCGGGGAGCCAGTGCTGAGGGTGTGGGTGGAGGAGCAGTAGGGGCCTATTTTCGCTGTCTGAGGACGGTCTGTAAGGAAATTATTAATCCAGGCGCATAAGATGGAGGGGAAACTTAGGCTTGACAGTTTTTCCACTATTATGTCAGGTATGATGGTGTTAAAAGCTGAGCTAAAATCGACAAACAGCATCCTTATATAGTTGCCTGGGCCTTCTAGGTGGCTCACAGCTGTGTGAAGGACCGTGGCGATGGCATCATCCGTGGATCTGTTGGCTCTATAGGCAAACTGATGAGGGTCGAGGGAGGGTGGGAGGCTGGCTTTGATGTAGTCGGCTATCAGTCTTTCGAAACATTTCATCACCGCCGATGTTAGAGCTATGTAGTCGTTGAGCTCTCTGACTGGTGTCTTTTTGGGGACAGGAATGATGGTAGCCGTTTTCAGACAGGATGGAATGCAAGCTTGTGACAGGGACAGGTTGAATATCCTGGTCAGGACCCCTGAAAGCTGGTCAGCACAAGCTTTGAGTACTTTGCCGAGTACTCCATCGGGTCCTGCGGCTTTTCCAGAATTCACAGACCTCAGCGTCACCTGATGTTCTTTGAGAGTGGGAGGTGGTATAGAGCTGGTAGTTTGCAGGGAAAGGGGCAGAGTAGAAAAGTGGGGGGGGGGGGTCTGCTAGCCTCAAAGTGAGCAAAGAAGTGGTTTAGTTCCTCTGCAAGGTGGGCGTCAGCTCTACTAGTGCCAAATGTTTTGCCCTTATACATGGTTAGCTGTTGAAGGCCCTGCCAAACGCAGCGTGTGTTTTTATGAGCGAGATTCTCCTCCAATTTTTCCTTGTAGTTCTCCTTTGCAGCCTTGATGCTTCTCCTCAGATTCACCCTTGCCAAACCGTCCTGAAGGCTGTGTCACGGGAACTCATGAGAGACCGCACCACTCTTGTCATCCATGGTTTTTGGTTTGGGTAGACCCGTATGCATTTTTCCACAGTTACAGTGTCTGTGCAGAACTTGATGTAGGATAAGACAGGCTCTGTGTGTTCCTCCAAGTCTGTCACTTCTGAGGGGGGTGTAAACTGGGATGAGAAGCAGTGAGAGGTGGTCAGATAGACCTAAATGGGGGAGTGGTGCTGCTCTTTAGGCATGCTTCAGGTTAGAATATACCCCGTCCAGTGTATTCTTTCCTCTGGTGGTACATCGTACTTATTATATAGCTGCACCGCTGCTATTTTTATATAGGGTAAACACTGAAACCAATTAAAATAAACAATAAACATTGAATGAGAAGTTGTCCAAACGTATGACTGGTACTGTACTGTATATAGAAAGCACACACATTTTAATATTTAGCAGGTTCCCTCATCTATAATCATTTATGCAAGCACAACTTTGAACATGTACAGCAGTAAAATGCAACATACAAAATAATCAAGAAACAACATAAATTAAACACTGACAGGGAACATTTTACTGCACCATCATTACTTTTACATAAGAAGGTGCCGTAAAATGTTCTGTTAATACTTGCATACTTTTACTTAAATAAGGTTTGAATGCAGGATTTTAATTTGTAACAGAGTATTTTAATTCTATACTGTAGGCGCAGTGTATCTGTGAACGATCCCAAATACAATTCATTGTTTACATTGCGGCTAGTGCTACCCAGAAGAAAAAACCCTTTTTCATTTTCAAAGGGGCTGGGCTACATGAGGTGAATTGAGCCAACACAAATACACACTAGGTGGGACTAAGAAAGATAATGTGAAAATATAAAAACAAAGGCATTAATTAGGGCTGCAAAATGTCTCCAATTGTAATGGTGATTAGATTTTTAAATGCTAACACTTAACAGTTTGTTCTGACTGTGTTTCCTGTTTCCTGCAGACGTCCAGCAGCTGGTGGTGGTTAAAGAAGAGCTTCTCCCTGACCAGCAGGAATGGAGCACCAGTCTGGACCAGGAGGACCCAGAGCCCCCCCAACACATTAAGCAGGAACAGGAGGGAGAGCAGCTTCAGGAGCTGGAGGAGGCTGATATCACTAATTCCACTTTCACTCCTGACCCTGTGAAGAGTGAAGATGATAAAGAGAAACCTCAGTCCTCTCAGCCTCATCAAAGACAAACTGAACACATGGAAACAGAATCTGATGGAGATGACTGTCGAGGACCAGAACCAGCGAGGAACTCAGATCCAGAGAACAGTTTACAACCAAAGACTGTGGACGACAATGAAGACTCTTCTGAACCAGACACTGGAGACTCTTCTGAACCTGACACTGGAGACTCTTCTGAACCTGACACTGAAGACAGTGCTGATTGGAAAGAGACCATAGAACCAGCATCAGGCTCAAACTCACTGAAAAATAGACATGAATCCGTCAGTAATCCACGACGTAGATCTGAACATAAACCATTCAGCTGCTCAGTCTGTAAAAAAGCTTTTTCACAGAGTGGAAGTTTAAACGACCACATGAGAATCCACACAGGAGAGAAACCATTTAGCTGCTCAGTTTGTACCAAATCTTTTGCAGTGAGTGTAAATTTAAAGGCACACATGAGAATCCACACAGGAGAGAAACCATTCAGCTGCTCAGTCTGTAAGAAAGCTTTTTCACAGAGTGGACATTTGAAGACACACATGAGAGTCCACACAGGAGAGAAACCACACAGCTGCTCAGTCTGTAAGAAAGCTTTTTCACATAGTGGACATTTAAAGATACACATGAGAGTCCACACAGGAGAGGAAAAATAGAGCTGCAAAGTTTGTGACAAAAGATTTAAATGGCGTAATCGTTTCAAAAGACACAAGTGTGTTGGTCGTCAGCTGCTTCTATAACTGTAAGGGAATACAATGATTTTGTATCCTGATGACCTAATGCCGTTACATGTAATACGTTACTCCCTAAGCCTGATTTCACCGCCTGCAACCGATTCACTAATAATCAGACATGTTCATTTCTTTAACCCGTTGACTCGACTATTTCTTGTTTAATAATCGTTACATCTCCTCAGGACCAAGTTCCCGTGTCCTGCCTTTCGCCTGCTGATCACCCACTGCTCATTTAAGGTGGACTGATCTTCCCTCCTCCTGCTCTTTTCTTTTCTCCCCCTTTTTCTCACTGCAGGTAATCAGCTGATCACTTCCTACCTGTGCAGCTGGTCATTTTCTTTGGTGTAAGTAAATAAACTTGTGTTCTCTTTCACCCTGACTGTTATTGGTTGTGTTACTGTCTCCATTTCCCTACACTTTATTAGGGATGTAACAAACACATTAATCTATAAAAAATGAAATAATCCAGTAATTCAATATATATGATTCTAAATTGTAACACAGTATTTTTACCCTGTAGTATTTGTACTTTTGCTTTAGTAGAATATCTGAATACTTCTTACACCACTGCTACCATGAGTGTGGAGCCGTGTGCTACAAAAGCCTGAATTTAAAACAAATACTTGACAGCTGAAGACTGTTTTCAAATGTAGAGCAGGTTGTAAGCGAGGCTCCGTTTGTAAATGCCTCCCCTTCAGATCCACGCTGAGGAAGATGGGTGTAACCAACATGTGGGTAAAGTACAAGGGCTGATAGGCCACATTCACTGCTCTCACACACACACACACACGCTGTTCAGATCACAGCTCACATAGTTTCAGCTCTCAGAAAGTGAAACTCAGACACTAGCTGCCACTGAGAGGTGAAATGACACAGAAAGGAGTTCAGCTGGAGCGGGAAACCTTCTCTTGTTCCATCTGTCTGGATCTACTGAAGGATCCGGTGACGACTCACACAGAGGATCACAACCAGTTTCTGCACAGTTACCCCTCACTGTCAGCCCTCAGTGAACCTACACACTCCTCCAGCATCAACATCCGTCCTCTGAGCTACTTTGAGGACGTGACGGCGGCCCTGTCAGCAGTCAGAGACAAACTACAGGACGTCCTCAGAGAAGAATGGACAAACGTCTCACCAACTGAAGTGGATGTTTTACTGTCAGAAGCAGAGCCCACCACCAGAGCTGGGTGCTTCAAATATTCACAGGAGATCACTCTGGATCCAAACACAGCACACACACGGCTGGTATTATCTGAGGGGAGCAGAAAAGCAACATACATGAAACCACAAAAGTCTTATTCTAGTCACCCAGACAGATTAACTTTATATCCTCAGGTCCTGAGTAGAGAGAGTCTGACTGGACGTTGTTACTGGGAGGTGGAATGGAGAGGGGCAGAAGTTGAAGTAGCAGTCGCATACAAGAATATCAGCAGAGTAGGGGGTGGGAATGAATGTGGATTTGGAAACAATGACAAATATTGGGCATTATATTGTAACCAAAACTGTTATTCATTTCTTTACAACAGTATCAAAACTCCCGTCTCAGGTCCTCGGTCCTTCAGAGTAGGAGTGTACCTGGATCACAGAGCAGGTATTCTGTCCTTCGACAGCATCTCTGAAACCATGACTCTCCTCCACAGAGTCCAGACCATATTCACTCAGCCTCTACATGCTGGAGTTGGGCTTTATTATCCTAATGGAACCACAGCTGAGTTGGTGTAGTCCAAACGATAGCTGGGGATTCTGGGTAGTGTAGTGTCTTCTGCCATCCTTTACTCCGAAAAAATATTTGTTTCTCCGAATCGAAGGGGAAAAATACAAAAGCATTGCACACAATTTAAACCAATCAATGTTGTGTAATTAACAAGGATAATCTGGTGTTGTTTAGTCGATGAGTAGTGCAGATATCACTGTAAAATCAATCGACAGTAAGGGGAAAACTTACTTCCGGGTGTACAATTCTCCGTTATCCAATGAGAATGGACGCTCACATTGCCTTTAAGGGCAGCCGACACAAACGAATGCCGTGCTTCCATGAGCGTCAAATCCCTTCGCAGATGGGAATACATTGCAATCAGTTGAAAGCTATTTGCGTCCCTTTATGAAGCTGAAGGAGCCTAGGAGCGTCACAACTGCACGCCACGGACACTGACCAAACGTCGCTCCTGGACGATTATGGAGTGAGAGTGTGTTGCCCGCACGGACTAAACCCAGATGATCACACCCTACAGAACATCATGCCTAATAACCCTAAAAGGGGGGTGGATTTTGCGGTGCTTTACCGTCCGCCCATCGGCATCCATATTCGGCCTTCTTCACGGCACCACCACCCCCCCTTCTGTGGAGGATATTCTCATGCTCCTGGTAATCTTTTAAATAGTCTGATACTACCAGGGATCATCACTGCACTTTACAAGCCAGAAATAATGTTTAAATGGTCGGTAAAAGTGTTTTTAAACGTCTGGAAGAGAGTTTTAGCCTGTCATTTTGCACGATATCATTTAACATTGAACCTCTCCTGGAAATGCACAGAATATGTGCATTTCCAGGAGAGGTTCAATGTTAAATGATATTGTGCAAAATGACAGGCTAAAACCCAGGAATAAGTTTTTGAAAGGCGGGAAAAGTTGTTTAAAATAGTCTGATACCTCCAGGGCGCATCACTGCATTTTACAAGCCAGGGAAGGTGTCTGAATCCTGGGTAAACATTGTTTAAATAGTCTGATACCTGGCACTGTATCTACCCCTGGGAACCTTCAAGGTTATATAAATGTTTTATTATTTATTTAATTATCACACGATTTTTACAAAAACAGTATACACAATATACATAATATACATAATAAACATAATAAAAACATGATTAGCGGGGGCCCGGGGGCCATATTAGCCGTCTAACTTGTACGGTGCAGCGGGGGAAAAAGGCCCCTACCCCCTCATCAGGAGTATTAACCGGCCCTGAAGAAGAGGTATCGCTGCTCTCCGCCCCTGAGCCCTCTTCGGAGGTATCTGACGGCGGTAGACCTCCTTCCAATGATGCTGCTGCAGCTGCTGCCGCACTGAACATGGAGCGGATCTTCAATCCCTCCTTTATTCCAGGAGTATTCGCGTAGAAGCGGTCTGCAGTGCTTACATCGTGACACATAAACCTGGCGAGAATCAACCTGCTTTCTGGATCTTGGTGATGCTTGATATTGTCAGCCAGGGCAGTGCGCAGGATTGTGAAGGTGACGGCTGTCTAGCCCAGCATCAGCCCAAGCCCTCTTCAAGTGAGCGTTCAGGTTCTTGGAAGCATGCTTCCCCGTTGTGAAAAGGAATAATTCATTCCGAGGACCCGACAAGCCCTCTTTTATCCCCATCCACCGCATGACCCAGCTAAACTCCTTTACTGTAAGCACCAGCTGTGCTTCGCCAAATGTCTTGGCAGTCTTGTGATCCTGCACGTGGATGATGTAAACCTCAGCAGTGCCCCTTCTGTCCGCCTCAAAGACCTCAGTGTTGGTCATGTTTGCGTACACACCCGGACGGTGGCCATACAGGAGGCTCCAATGGAGGGTTAGATAACCATATAGAAGGTACTGGGTGATTGAGGTCGGATTGCTAGCCATCAGGTCAAGGAAATCACGGATGCGCTTCTCAGCGGCCGCCATGGCGGCGAGAAGCTCCGCCTGGCTCGGCAGATGATCCAGCTTGTTCCTCTTCACCTTAAACTGGTGGACAGTGACAGACTTTTTCAAGTCGTTCATGTTGGCTGTCACCTCTCTGATGATGTGGGTCATATCAGACTGGGTGAGCCTGCACCCCCGGAGCTTTGACTCAGACAAGTACCTCAGGAAATGGTTCAGGAACAACAGCGATGTTGTGACTGCCCGGCCCGACTTTGCAATATACCACGGACCCTCTTCGTGTCTTTTAGGAACAGCCAATCTGACAGCCGGTTAACACCATGGGCCATGAATACGTGGAAGTTCTTTATCCGGCTGACCTTGGACAGACAATTTTCTTTCCGTTTTACTGACACCCTCACAATGATCCCTGTATGTCTGAATGTACGTCTCCATGCTTTGAGGCAACGTGATTTTACGCATGGTATTCCCCCGTCCCTACCCAGTGGACCAGTGATTTGGGGGAGAGGGCCAGTCCTTAGCCAGATTAGCTTTCAGCTTATTGTAGAAAGACGCACGGGTCTTCTGGCATGCAGGGGTCTCACTACCGGAGGCTTCTGGGGACCGCATGACCGTCTTGAGAGGGGTCTCACTACCGGAGGCTGCTGGGGACCGCATGACAGTCTTGACCGGGGTCTCACTACCGGAGGTTGCTGGGGACCGCATGACAGTCTTGACCGGGGTCTTGAGAGGGGTCTCACTACCAGAGGCTTCTGGGGACCGCATGACAGACTTGACCGGGTTCTTGAGAGGGGTATTGCTGCCGGAGGCTGCTGGGGACCGCATGACAGTCTTGACCGGGGTCTTGAGAGGGGTCTCACTACTGGAGGCTTCTGGGGACCGCATGAGAGTCTTGACCGGGGTCTTGAGAGGGGTCTCACTACCGGAGGCTTCTGGGGACGGCATGAGAGTCTTGACCGGGGTCTTGAGAGGGGTATTTCTGCCGGAGGCTGCTGGGGACCGCATGACAGTCTTGCCCGGGGTCTTGAGAGGAGTCTCACTACCGGAGGCTTCTGCGGACCGCATGACAGTCTTGGCCGGGGTCTTGAGAGGGGTCTTCCTGCCGGAGGCTTCTGGTGAATGCATGACAGTCTTGACCGGGGTCTTGAGAGGGGTATTGCTGCCGGAGGCTACTCTGTTTATGCCGGAGGTACTTGAGATTGCCAGGCCCTTAAATCGTATACATTCTTCCTCTTCCTCAAGCACAGCAGCAGTGGCACTCTGCTTCCTGGGTATTAGCCCCTTTTTCAGCCTGGAGCACAGGGTCTTCACCTCATCAATAAGGGCATCCTTCTGAGCCCTCAATGCCACATTTTCCAGCATCACCTGCCTGCAGTCCTCTTCGTCACACTCGGTATGTGGGGAGAAGGGTGGAGGTTGCACCGGGTATTCCTCCTCATTACATGTCATTTGATCGACGCTTTTATCCAAAGCGACTTACATACATTCAGCACTGTGGACAATCCACACAGGAGCAATTTGGGGTGAAGTGTCTTGCCCAGGGACACAACGACATGCTGACTGCTGTGGGACTCGAACTTGCTATCCCCTGATTCGAAGTCCAGCACACTTCCCACTGAGCCACAGCTTGTCTATATCCAATGATGTAGCCATTCCAATGATGGGATTAGTCTCACGGAGGTCATGGAGCAACTGCAGGGCCACACTATGCTTCAGCCTTGCCAGGACCTGATGTGCCTCATCTCGGGATAACTCAGGGTGGTCATGAGTTACATGACGGTCTAGTCTCTTCCCAGCATATGAACACCCTGTGATGGGACAGGGTTTGGTCCAAACATTTATTCTGCCACTGGCCATTTTAAGAATGATGCCTCTTTCCTCCAAGTTCCGCACTGCATGTTTGTGCTTAAGGTGCTTGTTCAAAGCCAGATAGAAGAGTCTGCACACCGGGCATTCGGACGACATCCTTACTAAAACAAACACAGTGAATTGTATTTAAATTATTTTCTGTTTCTCCGTTTATATGCCTTTATATGCGGTGATTGCAACAATGGGTCCGATGCTTCAATGCCTGGTACACGGACCAAGGGAGGACTTGGGTTACCACTGGGTTAAATGGTCCCACCTCCGCACCTCCGCACCAACTGGCTGGTGATGGCAACAATGGGTCCGATGCATCAATTCATGGTGCCCCGACCATGAGAGGGTTTGGGGTGCCCCGGAACCAGGCAGTACCCCAGCAGGAAACACGTTTTATGGTCAAAGTAGGAAAGAGTGATAGAACCGGGGTAAAGGAAAGAAAGTGTCCGCCAGACAGTCTGTCATCTCTCGGTCCTATCCTCCAGGCAATGCGGTACCAGAACTGGGTCAAATTGACCAAAAATATAAACAAAATAAGTTTCAATTCATCCATGGAAAAGGGCTGAAAATGAAAAAAAGTATCCAAAAATAGTGCATTATGAGCCTGCAAGAGTCCCCTGTCAACTCTCCTTGTATTCCTCCACAGTCAGAAAAAGTCTGAGTTAACTTTTGGGAGAACCATAGAAAGGGGTGGAAATGGATCAAATGTATCCGAAAATAGTGTCTCATAAGGCGTATAGAGTCCCCTGACAAATCCCCTTACATTCCTCCAGTCAGAAAAAGTCTGAATTAACTTTTTGAAGAACCATAGAAAGGGGTGAAAATGTATCCGAAAATAGTGTATCATAAGGCGGCATTACATTCCTCCAGAGACCAGTTCAAAAACTTAAAGTTTGGTAAGAACCATGCTGGGAATCCATTCCTCCATGAAGTGAGACAGCCGGTTTTTTTCTAAGTGCTCTCAAAAACCAGGTTTCCGATTTCGTGCAGATGGTAGCTGGAAAATGATGAATGCATTTTTTTTGACGGAGTTGGGGAGACTTGGGTTCCCATCTCCGTTATAAGTTGCAACGGGGGAGTGCAAAAGTGTCCGGGGCTTCGGCCCGAAGCGCCGAAGGGTTGAGCTTTGTTGAGCCCCTCCTCCGTTGGTACTCTGTCGTTTTTTCGATGTTTTTTCGAAACTTCCTTTTTGATTATTTTAATATATAATTGACCGTTTTCTTTATTTTTTTCTGC